AGAGGGCAAGGAGGAGTACCAGGAGATCATGGTCCAGGAGTGAATAGATATCCGCTTGACCAAGGGAAGCTGCTGGACATGCATGAATATATGGTCAATTCTACAAAAACTGTCATGAGGATTGGAATAGAATGTACCGTCGCGCTTAGTTGGGTGAAGTTCCCTCTAGACGTCTGCCAGCCCTGCTGTCTGCAAAAGAGAGCGCATACGTTCCTCTAGCATGAAGTCGTGAGAAGAGGCCGCCCCCCCGTGCATAGCACCTATCCAATGTGCAATCCAAGGTAACATTTGAATCTCCCAAAAGAAGAAGACCCTTGGAGTGTCAGGAAACGGTGGTGCAAAGATGAGAAAAGAATTTATGCTGAAAGCGATTGGGCACGTAGTAAGAGACAAAAGTAACCTCCTGATCCCAGAGAGTGCCCGGCAGGAGCAAATATTTGCCCGATGGGTCCGCTATATTCCGAGCACAGACAATGGGAAGATTGCGTTGAAAGCTATCAGTACGACCTGGCGTTTCTCAGGAGCCAAGGCAATGTAAAAAGTGGGATAATGAGGCGAAAGATACCATGGGGCGGAGGACTGAGAAAACCTGGACTCCTGTAAACATACCATGTGATTTTGTGTGCAATGTATCAAGTGACAGTGACCTACTGACACTGCACTTGCTGGGGGAGAAGGGAGGGGAGTAACCGTAGGGGGTAAATGCAGGTGTTGGCAGGTGCCGGGGCTGATCCCACTAACGCTGCGTTTTTGGGGATGCTATACTAATGTGAACGCTGGTATAGTACTGATCTGATCAAAGATATTGATCTGTTCAGACATTATACTAGCAATGAAAGTTTACAGTGTATGAGCATCTTCCTGGCAATCAAGGGGTTAAATGTGATGACTGGTGTATTGAAGGGCAATCTGACGATATCTGGGAGGGGCGTGAAAACCAAGGGAGCGTGAATCACGTATAGATATGTGATTTTGCGCACCCATGCCGCCCTGTAGCAGTATTTCTGCTATAGGGCGGTCAAGAAGCAGTTACATAAGCGGCTTGTGTTACGGCACATTACTATAACTGACAATTGTGCGATCATGCAACACTGCACCAAAATTAAATTTACATTTTTTTTTCCCCCATGAATTGAGCTTTCTTTCGGTTGTATTTGATCACCTGTGCTTTTTTTTTTTTTTTTGCTATATATAAAAAAAAAGGCAGACCATTTTGAGAAAAAAAAATATTTTGGACTTTTTGCTACAAAACATGTCCAGTAAAAAAATGTAAAAATCTAATTTTGTCATAAATTTTGGCCAAAATGTATTCTGCTACATGTCTTTGTTGAAAAATCCCAATACGTGTAAATTAATTGGTATATGTGAAAGTTATAGCATTTACAAATGGCGGGAACGATACTGGGATTTTTTTTTTATACTAATAATGGCGGCTATCAGAGATTTATGGCGGCAATCAGCGACTTATGGCAGGACTGCGGCAGACATTCTGACACTTGGGGAAAACTGACTTGGGGTCACTGACATCCCCAGTGACACCAATACATTGATCAGTGCAAAAAAAAAGCACTGACACTGTACTAATGGCATTGGGAGGAAAGGGTTAACATTTTTAGGCAATCAAAGGGTTAACTGTGTGAGGGGAGTGTATTATAAGTGGGGGGGGGGGGGTTGTGCTTCACAGGAACACGCTGTCCCGGAAAGTTAATCTCTGCTCTCCGCAACAGTGTGCTGGAAATTGACAGGGAGCAGAGCTGCATTGTAAGCGCCTCGTACCCAATATGCAAAATCACGTCCTAGATTGTAAGCTCCAAGGAGCAGGGCCCTCAAATCCCTCTTGAATTGAAATGTATTGTTGCTGTATTGTCTCCTGTTATATTGTAAAGCGCTGAGCAAACTGTTGGCGCTATATAAATCCTGTATAATAATAATAATCACGTATATATATACGTGATTTTGCGCATCGGTGCCGCCCTGCCACTGTATATGTACTGTGGCTGGTCGGCAACTGGTTAAAATTGGAGTCTAAAAATTTTATTTTTCTTTGTTTTAATAAAAAAATGTCAAACTGAACTTCTCTGTGCAATGGTTTTGCACAGAGCAGTCTCAAGCCTCTTCTGGAGTCCCCCACCGATGAGGTGTAGAGTCTATGGAACCACCTTGTGTTCTCCAGGGCTCTTTTAGGTGGAGATGGGTTGTGCTACAGACAATGTTTCCCAAGTTGGGCTTCTCTAAATCTCTATGGTGCTAAACAAACACATAGAAATGGATTGAAGATTCAAAAAACATTGGTCCTAGGAAGACTAAAGGAATAAATGTTGATTTTGATGTAAACTGTTTTGCAAGTTTTTCTGTTCCTACTCCTTTCCTCCCTACTCTGCCACTAATGCAAAGCTGTTTTATTTTGGAAGGGGAAGGGGGGGAGTGGGTACTTGGTTTTGACAAGTACCCACTCTCACTTCTGCTGCCATTGCCTGGGTGATCCCAGAGGAAATTTGTCCTGCTCCTCACCGCCTGCAGTCTCCTGGGACAGTTCAAAGGTCCTAGGAAGCTGCAGGACCACTCACAGATCACAGTGCAGCTCATGCATTCGTGGTGGGGAGCCAGCTGTGAAGCCGCAAGGAGTCACAGCAGGCTTAAAACAGTCAACATGGCAGCACTTGGGACCCAAAGACTGGCAAAGAACGGCCTGGGTGAGGACAGTGCTGGAACCCTGGACAGGGAGATATCCGTTTTTAAAAATTTTTCAGCTGCAGTATTTGTAGATGCTGACTTTTTTTCTTTTTATGGCTGTAGATCCTCTTTGAGCAGTTTACAAACTATAAGCCCCTTCTATTTTGCATGCATATCACATACGATACCATATCATACAATACCGCTTTTCGGCACTTTGGGTGAACATCTCCTGCTGTCTGTTTCCCATAAAGGAGTATGGAGATCTTTGGAGCTTGCTGCAATAGAACGGCCAGTGGTTTGTCGCTTGTCTGGCCAACTTTGACCATCCACCTCTCTAACAACAGTGGCTGTTGTGTAAAGAACGATGGGTTGACCACGCCCATGGGAAACCACGCTTTAGGCGAACAGGTCCTGCTGTCTATCCTCCGTAAAGGGGTACACCTTCTTCCCCATTTTACAGTCGAGCGTGCACACACAGACGGGACAGCAGTAAAGAGCTTTGTAGTATTTTGAGGGGGAGTTTACTAAAAAGGGAGAAGACAGAATCTGGAGCCACTGAGTATGGCAACCACTCAGCTCCTTGTGTCCATTTCAAACCTTCACTCAACAAGCTGAAGTGAGAAGTTGATTGCTTACGATGCACAACAACTCCGGATCCTGTCTGCACCCATTTTAAGTAAATTCCCCTCGAGGTAGCCCAAAGGAGGACTGTCTACAAGCTCTCTTTAGCCCATTGCACAGTAAGTCCATGAACTTTACAAGCTATATAACCACGGTAACCTACGGAAAAATCTATATCTGCTCATATAGATTTTAGTTGCAGACATTTGCAAATGTATGTGGAAGCCGCACTGCCTCACCAAGGCTCCTCTGTAAAGTGCGGTCCAACTCATTATTATTTATTTCAGGTACTTATATAGCGCCGCCAATTTACGCAGCGCTTTACACATATATATATTGAACATTCACATCGGTCCCTTACCCTCAAGGGGTGTACAATCTAAGGACCCTAACTCACATTCATACATGCACATATTAGGGCCAATTTAGACAGGATCCAGTTAACCTATCAGCATGTCTTTGGAGTGTGGGAGGAAACCGGAGCACCCGGAGGAAACCCACGCAGGCACAGGGAGAACATGCAAACTCCATGCAGGAGACGCCATGGTCGGGAATCGAACCCATGACCCATTTTTACTGCAAGGCAGATGTGCTAACCATACAAGAGTCTTCCTGTTGGAACATTCACAACAGAAATAAAAATGGAACCAAATGGAGCGATATAATCACGTTTCCGCCAACAATCCTGTCCTGCATCTTCTCCATCTTCATTGGCTGGCACGAGATGAGATGACATCACTTCTGCGCATGCACAGGAGCTATTCATTCTGACACACAGAGACTGGCCCGGAGCTGTAGGCTGAGCTGTGCATGTGCAGATCAGGTTACAGAGCTGGAGATGACATTGAGCAGGTAGGTAGGGGTATTTAACTGCTTGCCATCCAGCCACCGTGGAAAAAAAACGGCCACAAGGTGGCACCGCTGGGCAAAATCACGTTTAAAACGTGATATTGCAAAACAAGTAGGGGGCGCGCGAGAGGCACGCAACCGCCCTACCCGTTCTGCAATAAAACAGCCAGCGGTTTGTCGCTTGTCTGGCAAATTTAACCACCCACCTCTCTCACAACAGTGTTGTGTAAAGAACGGTGGGTTGACCACGCCCATGGGAAAACCACACTTTAGGCGAACAGGTCCTGCTGTCTATCCTCCGTAAAGGGGTACACCTTCTTCCCCGTTTTACAGTCGAGCGTGCACACACAGACGGGACAGCAGTAAAGAGCTTTGTAGTATTTTGAGGGGAGTTTACTTAAAAGGGAGAAGACAGAATCTGGAGCCACTGAGTATAGCAACCACTCAGCTCCTTGTGTCCATTTCAAACCTTCACTCAACAAGCTGAAGTGAGAAGTTGATTGCTTACGATGCACAACAACTCCGGATCCTGTCTGCACCCATTTTAAGTAAATTCCCCTCGAGGTAGCCCAAAGGAGGACTGTCTACAAGCTCTCTTTAGCCCATTGCACAGTAAGTCCATGAACTTTACAAGCTATATAACCACGGTAACCTACGGAAAAATCTATATCTGCTCATATAGATTTTAGTTGGCAGAGATTTGCAAATGTATGTGGAAGCCGCACTGCCTCACCAAGGCTCCTCTGTAAAGTGCGGTCCAACTCATTATTATTTATTCAAAGAAAAATAGAAGTGAGCGCTAGATAAGGAGCTGCTGTACGCCAAAAGGTACCAAAAAAACCTACAAAGAACATGTGAAAAGTGGGCGCAGCGCTAAGAGAAATAACAATTATCTCTGATAATTATACATATAGCAACCAAATATAAGGATGTGTGACTATTATGTGCAAAACATCGTGAAAAAAAAGGTTTTAAAAAGTCCTTAAAAATAACAAAACGGTGATTCAAAAACGTGCGTCTTCCGGTGATCAAAATCAATTGAATCATACACTCACCAGATGCATAATTCAAATATGCATATAGATGATATCTCGATATCCAAGCGAAGTTATCTCAAAATCGGATATGGCATCATAGGATCATCGTCTAGGCACATCTATCCGTCCGAGTTCTCCTTATGGATCGTGTGTTTCCACACTAAAACACCTCTCAGCTGTCTTCCCAGATGGCTCTGCGGGTGGTGGACTCAACGGGGTCAATGTAGTAGTACAAACAGGCTCTAATGTAATCCGTCAATAGCACGGCTCTGTCCTCTGAGCGATGGAGCAGCTGTGCCAGCCAGCAGCTGCAGGGGGAGCTTGAGGAGAGGTGTTAAAGATTGCCGCCGCTCTGTCTGGACCACTGGAGCACACGCTGGAACGCTCCTTGTCCACGGACCGGAAGTGACGTGAGCATGGAGTGGTGAT